TTGCGTTCAGGATTTATATACTTTCCAGTTGACAATTTTTCAGTAATATTTTAAAGCAGTAAAGTAATATTGAAAAATAATGAATATTTATTTTGTTAAAAGGACATTTCAACATTAAGGAAGATACTTAGATAAATAAGTTTTACTTTTAAAAGGTATCCGTTCCAACAAAAAGAACGTTATAAACTATATAGTTTTCCATTGGAACTTTTACAAAAATAAGATTTATCATATGAGTTTGAACTATTTTTGATAGATTTTGTAATTTTAAAATTTATTTACTTATTAGCAGGTTGAGTGGAATTTAACACAGCTTGTTTACACCATCAAGATGTTGTACAACTTTTGAATTAATTTGGTTGTACTTATCACTAATGCGATGGCAGACATTGAGTGTTTGAGAAAATGACCATGCTTCACCAGGAACACAACCATCCGTGCTGGATGAATATCTTCGAAGGTTGAAATTGATTCTGAAAACCAGTCTTGTTGGTAACAAATAATCGTAATATGTGTTCAAATGTGATCGAAATGTGCCAGAGAATAATGGTTTAATCGTGAGACCATTGTCTGCAATTATTTCACATATCCTTATAAATTAATTCAACATTGAATAAACGCTGCATTTCATAGCGATGTCCGCGCCACAGGATAAAAGGTGCTATTAAGTGTTGGTATTTGTCTGCTAAGTTCAAACGTAACCTTAGTGGGATGCCCGTTATTGTGAGTAAATTTGTACATTTATTCTATGATTGAATTTTCATTGTTTGCCTTTTAAACCCCTATTTTACATTTTCATTGTGTAGAAATGAAATAAGTATGCATTGATAAAAAATAAAGTATTTTTCACGGGTTACATATTTTAACTCACGAATTTTAAAATTGCCAAATTAAACAGTTTTTCCATTAAACGAAACATAAAATGTGTTAAAACACGGGTTACCAGTGCTGAAAATAAAACATGCGAAACGAAATACAGCAACCCCGAATTTAAGGTAGATTCTTTCTCATTTTATGGAAAACACGGGAGAACTTATTTTAGAAGATATTTTAATGGGAAGAGTACTTTCATCTTCTTGTATTATGTTTTCTGTCCTCAAAGTACTTTTCCATCGTGTACTACAGTAATTTTCTTTCTAAGTCCGGACTCTCACTTATTGTTTGTTTAATTTGATTTTTGCCTGTTTTGTATTCAGTGGTTTAAGTTTTTAATTTTTTTTTAAATCTTCAAATAATATTTTTAACTTACTAAATAGATGAAATTGTTGACTTTACAGCAAAACATTTGTGTAAACAATTTCTGAACAATATTATGAGGTATGTAAAATTATTATAGTCAGAAAATCGTTGGTCACAACATCGTCTGCTACAACATTAATGCAAATTAAGCAGCAGTTAGTAAAATATGGCAAAATGTGAGGATAACATATGATCGACGACATTGTCTGCAGTAGGACGCTATTGTGCTATTGTGCCCCACAATGGGCATCATTTATGCTGTCGGGATCTTATCCTCGGGTTGGCCTAAATCGCTACATCACCCAATCACCGATTTCCGCCATCAAAATCACCCTTCAATGGACAACACTAGGGGTTGGAGAAAACTAGTCTTAGCGAATTTCCCATATAGGGAATAAGGTATTATCGTAGGTCTCATGGTACGACCTGGACCCGGGACCAATTAACTGTTTCGTCTTTATGTCCCCAGAGGTCATGAACATCATCCATTCACATTCATACATATATGTCCGTTTAACACAACAACTCGAGCAAAAATGGTCCGATTTCGATGAAATTTGGTACGAACGTGTAAACCTACAATTATTCGAACGAGTGTGAACCAGAATGACCGGACCATGGAAACGAGGTTTTATGGGGGATCTATGGGGTAAAAATTGGGGTTTCTCGTTTTTTACCCTCAAAACTTCCCAAATTTCACAATTTTCCAACTAGACGATTTTGAAGAATTTAGAAAAACTAATTATTTAGTGTATTGAAGTGTTTTGTATGGTTACTGGTAATTTTAAAATGCCCATGTTATTTTTATGAAGAATAAGTAAACTGTTGTAGTTTGCAGTGTTGGGAAGTAGCGCGCTACAAGTAGCGCCGCTACAGTAGCGCACTACTTTTTTTGTAGCGTTAGCTGTAGCTACGCTACTTTTAAGATTTTGTAGCTTTAGCTGTAGCTAGCTACATTTTTAAAGTAGTTGTAGCGGAATTTTAGCTACTTTTCTCGCTACATTAACATTGTTTGAGGTAGTGATTTTTATCATAACCTCAACCTTACGTGAAACCTTTCAAACTGAGATTTTCAAAAAAATTAGGCTGGCTTCATACAGCTGGTTGCAGCCGTTTCATTCCCTATACAAACAACGTTGTGTGAACATGGAGGCCATTAAATGAGTGTTATCCACATATTTGCCTCTCATTTCCTTAATTTACTACTCTATGATTACTGTCAGATAAAATAAAATCGCTAGATGCAGACGACTTTTAAACGTTACCGGTGACTAAAGAAGCTATTGAATGCTTGCAAGTGATCGTCAGGGAAATTAGTAATCAATTTAGTTTCTTTATTATATCAATAGTGTTTCAACTTGGGTTTTAATGGAAACCAACACTAACACTAAACCTTAAAATAATGAGAAATCTGGTCTATCAACCTTTGCTTCAGCTGTTGATTGTGGTTCATCACCACAAGCCCTTCCTTGGTTAGATTACAAAGATTTTTCAGAGGTTTACTAAATTAACAAAGAGGAAGTTTCCTGATGTGATTTAAGATATGCCTGGACTAATTGATAATTGTAACGAAAAAATCTCCATATAACGTGAAACTTACATTGAACAAGTAGCATAGTTTGCTCCTGCTAACAGCTCTTGTATAGGACTATTCCTAGGCTATGCTATGGTTTAAGACAAATACCAAGTTCCAAGTTCAGTTATTAGGAATATATCTGTTTAGTCCTTGCAAGAACAAGCCTACCATAGCCAACTTGTTACATAGCCAAGTAGGCCTACATGTTATTTTTACTTTACAAATTTCAACATGTTTAAATTAAAAGCCGATTTCAGGATAAGTTGCTGAATGCTGTTTTCTATACCAACTAGGTTGAAGCACAATTTTCCCTATGCATAATGACAATAAAGGACGATTTCTTGACATTGAAAAGTGTTATTCATAGAACAAGTAACTTATCACTATGGTTAAAAGTTATAGCAATGTCGTTTTTAACATTAAAAGTAAAGAAAGGCAATAAACTCCAATTTCAGTAGGCTAGGCTCTGTAACAAACAAGTATTTTTAAATAATCGTTTTACAGTTTTATTGGTCTTAATTTTTTATATAAGACATCTATAAATCTTACTAATATTATAAATGTGAAAGTTTGTGTGTGTGTTTGTTTGTTTGTTTGTTTGTGTGTTTGAAGGTCAATCACGCATAAACCACTGGATGGATTGGGCTGAAATTTGGCATGATGGTAGCTCACATTCTTGATTAACATATAGGCATATTCTTATCTCAAAAAATCCCTCCGGGCTCCGCCCAGTGGCTCTGTAGTTCCCCATGTTAACCTTATGAGTTTTCTTATTTAAAGGGAATTAAAGAATTTAGTCAGCTGTTTCAACTAAAAAAGTGGGTGTTATAATATACAAAAGAATTAAAAAGTTATAAGATTTACCAACAGGGTGCAGCACTATATTTTTTTCCATTTATGTGAACAGCTAATTTGAACTAAGCAGCAACAAACAACTGTGATACGCAATGCGAACTGTCAAAGTAGGATTGTTTACAGTTATGTTTATATTTTTAAGTCATGACTAATTTGTGATTTTTTGCAAATTTTTAATAATTTATTTTTCTTAATTGGTTAGGTAAGAGGTAGAACATTATGGCCATGGTAGATGTGTAATACCATAGTATACCGTCAATTTAAAGAACCAAATTTTATCAAACTTTTTCCTCCCCCAATGCAAACGCAAAGCTTGAGTATAACTGCAATAAGCAATTTAAACTTATATGCCAACCCCGTACGAAGGACGGGTACTCTGCTAGTGAATCTATATTAAAGAAATAAAATGAGCTTTTAAAATATAGTTTGGTTGTATGTCCTTTGAACTTAATGAAATTTACATATAAGATGCTTAAAAATAATGCAATATTTAAACTAGTTTGCTTGTTTATGGATATATTTTGATCAAAATTGGCAAATCTATTTATTTTATGGTTGACAAAGTTATTAATGAACACACTTTATTAATTTACTATAAACACACTTTATTACCCTCCATGTAGCTGCAATAAACCTAGATACTCGTTAAACCTAATGTTATTGAAATAGATTTAATTGAAAATCTAATCGAGCAAATGGAAATTCCCTTTGTGTGCAGGTTTGCTTTGGGTTGTATTTCCCATACAATTTAAATAAAAAAAGGTCGTATTGTTGAACGTAACCGTTCATATTACATTCTATGGTCTGAATGGAAAACTAAGAAACTTAGTCCACCAATCAACATTGTCTATTCAATTAAAATCGTTTGAGATTTAGATTGTCCTAACAAAAGGTTAATTCACATTTATGTAAATCAGATTTTTAATTTTTATGTTATCTAAATATAAGGTTCTTTGTACGGTTGAAGGAAAAAATTTGTCTTCCTATAGATTATTTACGATTCACTTTACTTTTAACTTGCCCTGTTAATCAACATGCCTGAAAGGATAACAACATAGCCCTTCTCCATCCGATAACAGTCTAAAACGTTTTGTAACGTTTACTGGATATTTCATATTGTAACTTATTCCGAAATTACAAGAAATTATGATAAGAATCCCGGAAGAATCAGCATAAGCATAGATGGGTAAGGAACTACAACACCTTTCCTAAACCAAATTAAGTTAAGGATAAGATGCAGGCAAATATATTAATATTATCTAAACAGATATCATTATTGAATTTAGACGATAAAATTAAATTCAAGAGATTGCTTTAGTGTTAAACTTACTCGGGAGAGGCAGAAGTGTGTGTGAGGGTGACTACAAGGAACTCCAGAAGGGTGAGGACAGCAGCGGGCCGCATACTGAGGTACCTGACACTGGGAGGTTCACATGGCGGCGTCACAGCCATCCGTGCTGTCCGCAACCATCATCTGTCCTGTAACAGGTACAACAAACTGTTACTTTACATCACCACGTTGTGTATATGTAGTAGCCGCACATTGAGGTACCTGACACTGGGAGGTTCACATGGCGGCGTCACAGCCATCCGTGCTGTCCGCAACCATCATCTGTCCTGTAACAGGTACAACAAACTGTTACTTTCCATCACCATGTTGTGTATATGTAGTAGCCGCACATTGAGGTACCTGACACTGGGAGGTTCACATGGCGGCGTCACAGCCATCCGTGCTGTCCGCAACCATCATCTGTCCTGTAACAGGTACAACAAACTGTTACTTTCCATCACCATGTTGTGTATATGTAGTAGCCGCATATTGAAGTACCTGACACTGGGTGGTTCACATGGCGGCGTCACAGCCATCCGTGCTGTCCGCAACCATCATCTGTCCTGTAACAGGTACAACAAACTGTTACTTTACACCACCATGTTGTGCATATGTAGTCACCGCATACTGAGGTACCTGACACTGGGAGGTTCACATGGCGGCATCACAGCCATCCGTGCTGTCCGCAACCATCATCTGTCCTGTAACAGGTACAACAAACTGTTACTTTACATCACCATGTTGTGCATATGTAGTCACCGCATACTGAGGTACCTGACACTGGGAGGTTCACATGGCGGCGTCACAGCCATCCGTGTTGTCCGCAACCATCATCTGTCCTGTAACAGGTACAACAAACTGTTACTTTACATCACCACGTTGTGTATATGTAGTAGCCGCATACTGAGGTACCTGACACTGGGCGGTTCACATGGCGGCGTCACAGCCATCCGTGCTGTCCGCAACCATCATCTGTCCTGTAACAGGTACAACAAACTGTTACTTTACATCACCACGTTGTGTATATGTAGTAGCCGCATACTGAGGTACCTGACACTGGGAGGTTCACATGGCGGCGTCACAGCCATCCGTGCTGTCCGCAACCATCATCTGTCCTGTAACAGGTACAACAAACTGTTACTTTACATCACCACGTTGTGTATATGTAGTAGCCGCATACTGAGGACTGAGGTACCTGACACTGGGCGGTTCACATGGCGGCGTCACAGCCATCCGTGCTGTCCGCAACCATCATCTGTCCTGTAACAGGTACAACAAACTGTTACTTTACATGACCACGATGTGTATATGTAGTAGCCGCATACTGAGGTACCTGACACTGGGCGGTTCACATGGCGGCGTCACAGCCATCCGTGCTGTCCGCAACCATCATCTGTCCTGTAACAGGTACAACAAACTGTTACTTTACATCACCACGTTGTGTATATGTAGTAGCCGCATACTGAGGTACCTGACACTGGGAGGTTCACATGGCGGCGTCACAGCCATCCGTGCTGTCCGCAACCATCATCTGTCCTGTAACAGGTACAACAAACTGTTACTTTACATCACCATGTTGTGTATATGTAGTAGCGGCATACTGAGGTACCTGACACTGGGCGGTTCACATGGCGGCGTCACAGCCATCCGTGCTGTCCGCAACCATCATCTGTCCTGTAACAGGTACAACAAACTGTTACTTTACATCACCACGTTGTGTATATGTAGTAGCCGCATACTGAGGTACCTGACACTGGGCGGTTCACATGGCGGCGTCACAGCCATCCGTGCTGTCCGCAACCATCATCTGTCCTGTAACAGGTACAACAAACTGTTACTTTACATCACCACGTTGTGTATATGTAGTAGCCGCATACTGAGGTACCTGACACTGGGAGGTTCACATGGCGGCGTCACAGCCATCCGTGCTGTCCGCAACCATCATCTGTCCTGTAACAGGTACAACAAACTGTTACTTTACATCACCACGTTGTGTATATGTAGTAGCCGCATACTGAGGACTGAGGTACCTGACACTGGGCGGTTCACATGGCGGCGTCACAGCCATCCGTGCTGTCCGCAACCATCATCTGTCCTGTAACAGGTACAACAAACTGTTACTTTACATCACCAAGTTGTGCATATGTAGTAGCCGCATACTGAGGTACCTGACACTGGGAGGTTCACATGGCGGCTTCACAGCCATCCGTGCTGTCCGCAACCATCATCTGTCCTGTAACAGGCACAACAAACTGTTACTTTCCATGACCATGTTGTGCATATGTAGTCACCGCATACTGAGGTACCTGACACTGGGAGGTTCACATGGCGGCGTCACAGCCATCCGTGCTGTCCGCAACCATCATCTGTCCTGTAACAGGTACAACAAACTGTTACTTTACATCACCATGTTGTGCATATGTAGTCACCGCATACTGAGGTACCTGACACTGGGAGGTTCACATGGCGGCATCACAGCCATCCGTGCTGTCCGCAACCATCATCTGTCCTGTAACAGGTACAACAAACTGTTACTTTACATGACCATGTTGTGCATATGTAGTCACCGCATACTGAGGTACCTGACACTGGGAGGTTCACATGGCGGCGTCACAGCCATCCCTGCTGTCCGCAACCATCATCTGTCCTGTAACAGGTACAACAAACTGTTACTTTACATCACCACGTTGTGTATATGTAGTAGCCGCATACTGAGGACTGAGGTACCTGACACTGGGCGGTTCACATGGCGGCGTCACAGCCATCCGTGCTGTCCGCAACCATCATCTGTCCTGTAACAGGTACAACAAACTGTTACTTTACATCACCATGTTGTGCATATGTAGTCACCGCATACTGAGGTACCTGACACTGGGAGGTTCACATGGCGGCGTCACAGCCATCCGTGCTGTCCGCAACCATCATCTGTCCTGTAACAGGTACAACAAACTGATACTTTACATCACCATGTTGTGTATATGTAGTAGCGGCATACTGAGGTACCTGACACTGGGCGGTTCACATGGCGGCGTCACAGCCATCCGTGCTGTCCGCAACCATCATCTGTCCTGTAACAGGTACAACAAACTGTTACTTTACATCACCACGTTGTGTATATGTAGTAGCCGCATACTGAGGTACCTGACACTGGGCGGTTCACATGGCGGCGTCACAGCCATCCGTGCTGTCCGCAACCATCATCTGTCCTGTAACAGGTACAACAAACTGTTACTTTACATCACCACGTTGTGTATATGTAGTAGCCGCATACTGAGGTACCTGACACTGGGAGGTTCACATGGCGGCGTCACAGCCATCCGTGCTGTCCGCAACCATCATCTGTCCTGTAACAGGTACAACAAACTGTTACTTTACATCACCACGTTGTGTATATGTAGTAGCCGCATACTGAGGACTGAGGTACCTGACACTGGGCGGTTCACATGGCGGCGTCACAGCCATCCGTGCTGTCCGCAACCATCATCTGTCCTGTAACAGGTACAACAAACTGTTACTTTACATGACCACGATGTGTATATGTAGTAGCCGCATACTGAGGTACCTGACACTGGGCGGTTCACATGGCGGCGTCACAGCCATCCGTGCTGTCCGCAACCATCATCTGTCCTGTAACAGGTACAACAAACTGTTACTTTACATCACCACGTTGTGTATATGTAGTAGCCGCATACTGAGGTACCTGACACTGGGAGGTTCACATGGCGGCGTCACAGCCATCCGTGCTGTCCGCAACCATCATCTGTCCTGTAACAGGTACAACAAACTGTTACTTTACATCACCATGTTGTGTATATGTAGTAGCGGCATACTGAGGTACCTGACACTGGGCGGTTCACATGGCGGCGTCACAGCCATCCGTGCTGTCCGCAACCATCATCTGTCCTGTAACAGGTACAACAAACTGTTACTTTACATCACCACGTTGTGTATATGTAGTAGCCGCATACTGAGGTACCTGACACTGGGCGGTTCACATGGCGGCGTCACAGCCATCCGTGCTGTCCGCAACCATCATCTGTCCTGTAACAGGTACAACAAACTGTTACTTTACATCACCACGTTGTGTATATGTAGTAGCCGCATACTGAGGTACCTGACACTGGGAGGTTCACATGGCGGCGTCACAGCCATCCGTGCTGTCCGCAACCATCATCTGTCCTGTAACAGGTACAACAAACTGTTACTTTACATCACCACGTTGTGTATATGTAGTAGCCGCATACTGAGGACTGAGGTACCTGACACTGGGCGGTTCACATGGCGGCGTCACAGCCATCCGTGCTGTCCGCAACCATCATCTGTCCTGTAACAGGTACAACAAACTGTTACTTTACATCACCAAGTTGTGCATATGTAGTAGCCGCATACTGAGGTACCTGACACTGGGAGGTTCACATGGCGGCTTCACAGCCATCCGTGCTGTCCGCAACCATCATCTGTCCTGTAACAGGCACAACAAACTGTTACTTTCCATGACCATGTTGTGCATATGTAGTCACCGCATACTGAGGTACCTGACACTGGGAGGTTCACATGGCGGCATCACAGCCATCCGTGCTGTCCGCAACCATCATCTGTCCTGTAACAGGTACAACAAACTGTTACTTTACATGACCATGTTGTGCATATGTAGTCACCGCATACTGAGGTACCTGACACTGGGAGGTTCACATGGCGGCGTCACAGCCATCCGTGCTGTCCGCAACCATCATCTGTCCTGTAACAGGTACAACAAACTGTTACTTTACATCACCACGTTGTGTATATGTAGTAGCCGCATACTGAGGACTGAGGTACCTGACACTGGGCGGTTCACATGGCGGCGTCACAGCCATCCGTGCTGTCCGCAACCATCATCTGTCCTGTAACAGGTACAACAAACTGTTACTTTACATCACCATGTTGTGCATATGTAGTCACCGCATACTGAGGTACCTGACACTGGGAGGTTCACATGGCGGCTTCACAGCCATCCGTGCTGTCCGCAACCATCATCTGTCCTGTAACAGGTACAACAAACTGTTACTTTCCATGACCATGTTGTGCATATGTAGTCACCGCATACTGAGGTACCTGACACTGGGAGGTTCACATGGCGGCGTCACAGCCATCCGTGCTGTCCGCAACC